GCTTGTACACCCGCAATTACGGTAGTTATGTTGAGATACACTATAAAATAAAACCACCAAACTTAAAGAGAAACCCAAAAGAAGAAGACACTTTAATTGGCTCGCATCAATCTGTAAGCTATTATTTTTATAGCTTGTGTAAATGTCCCGCTTAAAATTTATAGACTACAACTTCATGGCTTCATTGCAGGTCAGGTAAGGAACAGAAGGATGGATGGCTCTGATGGGAGCGTTGAATTTCATCAGAACTTCAAAGTAGATGTAAAAATGTGAACAGATATTTCAGCCTCAACTTGCCGTTGCCTGTCCATGCTCCGTTTTCTTTATTATAATGAATATTCTTTTACGGGATTATTTTTATGCCAAATATAGATCACAGAACAGCATCATGATCACACCCTTCAAACATTTAGCCTTCACTTTCAGCTCGTTGAAATCTTTCCAGCCGTGCGCACATCCCAACGCTCGGTGCTGAAATATTAAACGATCTCCTTTGAACTGTCACAATGTATTGTTTTCTTACAAGCTCTCCTTTTGTCATCTCTGTAGCTTTTACTGCCTTTGTCAGCAGTTTACTGCGCAGCCAAGGTCGTTGCTATTATTCCAGCAGGCTCGCACCAGCATCAGGACCACAGCAGAGCTGCTCCAACAAAGGAAGGTCATTTTTCCCTCAGTGTTGACGACGGCATTTTATCTTCAGTTTGAACCTTCATGAGCGTAACAACCCTCAAGAACAAAGAGCGGCACATTGGGTGTGGTGACACACTGGTCTCATTTGGGTTTCAATATATTCTGAGAAATTAGGCACAGTTCCTGTTCCTTAACATCCTCTGATTTGTAGTTAGCTTTTTGTGTCAACCACTCACTCGTGTGTCATTATAACCAAAATGGCTTCTTTATTTTTTTTTTTTAGGGAACCTGCTTGTAAGACATCTAATTTGCTGTTCAAAAAGGTCAACCAAATAATCTAAATTTCAAGATGGAAAAGTTCAAACAGAAGGTTGAGGGATAATTAACCTCAGCCTGCAGCTATCGAGTGCTCACCTTCCCTCGTCTGAGGCTTACATTTCAGATCTGCCGTCGTGGCAACTCGGGGCGAGGGTCTTTGATAGAAATGTAGGTTAAATACATGGAGGAGCAGATCTTATTAGCTTTTCCCCACGAGAAGAGTCGATATTTGATGCACACTTTTGTTGCAAAACCAAGAGGAGTGGGAGACTGAGAAGATCCTTTAATAATCCATGGTGCTTTGAAGAAAGCATATTCTCACTCTCTGGGTAACGAGGAAAATCCAATCAGTTTTAATAATAAAATGACAGGTTTCAACTAATTTAATACATATTAAAGCAGGCTCCAGGACACATCATTCAGGATTCGATTTGATTTGAAACGAGCTCTGCTTAGACATTTTAGTGCAGCACATTTTATGCTCTTTGATCCATCCTTCTTTGAAAGAAAGATAATTGATTTAAGGTTTAGTCCCTCCTGGTTATGATGCTTGTCTTTAACGTTTTTGTTTTGGGGTGTATACATTAACCCACAAAACACAGAAGAATAGCATATCATTACAAATACGTATTTTGAATATATATATACATATATGTATATATGTATTTATTGCTACATAAAACACTTAAATTTTTATTCGATCAACTATTGCTTTATCCAAGCAATTGTTTTATTGGACATAGTTGGGTTTGAACAGCTTGATGGAGACAGTGAAATAAGTTACAGATAATTTGGTTTATTTTTTCTGTACACACAAAAAATTGGTAAAATATCTGATAATAGTCTTATTAAAACAACTTTTAGTTACAAAACCACAGCAAATGTAAAATTTTGATGCCATTATAAATGTTTTCCTTTCATATCTTTCACTCAGGCTTTTTTAAGAGGTTCCTCTTTTTATGGTTTACATGTCTTCAATACAATTATTATTCATATCAGATTAACCAGCTAATCTACATAATAGCCATTCCCTTGAACTACCCTTGGTTGTTCTTATTGTTTAATTTATAAATTGGCTTATTCACTGTTTACTGAGCAATACCTGGAATATATATCTATATATAGATAACCCACTTGCACACAGTTATGTTTTATAGGTTACCTTTTAGTTGGACTGAGAGTACAGTATTTTTTAAGAAGCAGCATGTGACCAGGCTGCTTCCTGCCTACACTAGAACAGCCTGTCCCATCCGGACATTATCTAGCTTTTGGCAGAAAAGGTGAAAACTTTATACGCCCATAATAACCACATTCATATTAAGTGCACAACATTCAAAGTTTTTCCTTTGCTTTCACAAAATAGTTTTATTGATAAAAAATAGAACTACTTGCACAAGCACATTGAGACAACTGTATCAGAACTTGTGAACATCATCACAGATATGCTCTGGCAAAATAAAAAGTGCTAAAGGCATTCACAAAAATAAGCTGCAGTTATCAAAATCATAAATCATTATATCAGTACAGTTTATGCAGGAGAGTTGTAACGCTGCAGATTTTTAGGACCAAGTCACGTTGCACTCTGGCTCTACTTGTAAGCAAATGAAATTGCGTGCTGATGATTAGGCTGCACAGCAACAAATAATAGGACTCTCTAGCTCATATTTCCCTGCTGAATCCAATCAGACAGAAATTGCTCCCTTTTTGTCCAGAGTGTCACTTGTGTTATGTATTTGTATTGGTCCAGAGAGCTTGAAATGCTCAATTATTTGAACCAAACTGTTGCCACATAGTAACACAAATAAAAAGTGCACTGAGTATTCTTCTTATAAAGAAGATATGGCATTAGTGTAGTGTAGTATCTTGTACTGAAACAATCTTTCAGTGGAAAACAAACCATCCTAAAATCCTAGATGCTTGTGTACACAGATCAACAGTGAGTCAGATTTCGTGACACGACTACGTCCACGCTCGGGTCTTCTTTGTAAAGCTCTTGTATCTGGTGAAGTCTTGCTGTGCTTTAGGGAATGAGGCATAAAGAGGATTTAAAATAACCCTTGAAAGCTGCACTGAACTGTACACAAGCATCTAGTTAATTAAGTTTGGCAGAACAAATCACAAATCCATACATTTCAAATGCATAATTCATGTATAAACAATGAAATAATACAAAAAGAATAACTCCAGTGAATATTAAACCTGTCATCATGAGACAATTTGGCACATTCTCAAAACACATAATGTGTCAGGGTAGCTGATGACATGGCACATTCTTTACTTTGTTTATTGCATTTATCAGTTATGTTGCTTGGGCAGTGAGTTATTGTCAGGAGGACAGTTTGGCTGGCTGGGCAGGATGGCTGTGAGTGCGATGGAAACCTGGCCCTGCCAAGACGGCCAGTGGTGCCCAGAGAGACGCCTGTGGTTTGCTGGCAGCAGCCTGCAGGTGGCGATCTGGGCTTAGCCATCTGCTCTCTCCCAGGAAGCTGCTGGTTTATGAGAGAGCGTGAGAGAATGTGCAGTTCTATACATCCCAACCTACGGAGGTCTGTGTCAAACACAAAATAAATTCCTTCCTGTTTCTCCCCTCAGAGTAAAAGTGTTAAACTCACTCTGCAAGATAACCATAAAACATAGCCATGCAAATGACTTATGAGTAGGCGGGGGGGGGGGGGGGGGTGTTTTGTTTACGTGTGTGTTGCAAGAGCACACACTTTCAACATGCATCAGTGTTCTCTCATCAGAGGTGACACCCATGTGACATGTGAGACAAACAGGGCAGGGGTTAATGAGTTGGAAGGGAAAAAGAGATTCACTGGTAGGATAGTCGAGTGGATGCAATTTAAGACACGGAGAACTTGTGCAGGTGGAGACTGGTAGCATATGCACTCTGCTGACGCACTTGAAAAACAAGTCACATATGGAGAATGACTCAAACCTTTTTTAAGAGCTGGCTACACAGCTATCAGTTCGACTGAGGAAGCTTCTCGTCTTCTGCTTCAGTTTTGCCACTGCGCCACTAGATATCTGTTCACCATCGTCTTGTATGGAATATAAATGGCAGAAGAAGGAATAGATGTGATTAGTTAAAGTAATGTGAGAATTGGCTCTGACTAAAGCGTATTGCACGCCATGGCGAGAGGAAAATAGATGCCTCCTCAACAACATAAGTGACTGACAAGCAGATCTTCCCCCTCAGACAATGAAGATACTCAAATGCTGAATTTTGTTTCCATGGCAGTGCAGCGGCAGATGACGGGAGTGAAAAGCACATTCAAAAAGCTTCTGAATGTTTGCTGGGTACATAAAAGGGACACAAAAGCATGTGTAGGTGTGTAGGTGTGTATGTCTGGGAATGGATCGTGATGAGTAGCGGATACTTACAAGCAGGCTGCGTCTGGATGGAAAAATGGAAAAAGCAAATCAGAAAGTCCGTTTAATTAAAGCAGTGAATCCTGTCCTGCACGTTTCTCTCCGTCTCTCTCATATTTCCACCTGCAGGGAAAGTCGTGGGCATTTGTTTGCCTTTTATTTTGTTGTTAAATCCAGCCCAGCAGCCCTCTTGTCCTCCTACATGTCCTCAGTTACAGCAGGGTAATGTTTCTACAGCTTTTCAGGCACAGGCAATGTGTGGTTCAGTCTTCTACCAGGCATTCCACTGTTTTAATACGCAGACAGGCTCCATACAGCATGCTCTAGAGGCAAAATATCTGCATCCTTCTAGCAGCTAACAAAAATACGACCATTTATTTCAATCAGTTTCAGGTTGCATTCTAGTAGATACGTGAAACTACAATGGCTTCCTATAAAGGGGGTTTTACATACTGCACTCTGCATTTATATTGCCTATTTTGTCAAATGAGAGGGTACTGATACAAGCGATTGTAAATAGCAGCTAAATGATTGCTTATTTCTTTTCAAAACCTTTGGTGAGAGGGGAGCTAAATCTACATAGGTTTCCTTATTTGCTTAATCCATTCCCCCAGGGAGCGCTTATTGTGATTTACTGATGAAGACTGCATTTAGTTGGGGGCTTCCTTCCATTCTGCCGCGGCATATCCTGGCTCCTTAAACATTCTCCCTGTTTGTTCCAGGGCGCTGCTTAGGGAATACCTCCACTGCTTGTGCTTGCAGAACAGGAGACAAAAAAGGAGACAAGCAAGATAGAAAAGACGAGAAATTAATTTAGTGTTGTTGCCCTCCCTCTCTTTTTTCTTTTCTCCACCTCTGTCTGGAGTAAAATCCAGTGTGTAGCATGTGATGGTTTCCCCTCAAGCTTGTCTTCCTTTAGCCGTTGGTAGCACACAGAGCAACGCTCTTTTACACATAATCCTGCAGGCTGTAGCCTGTTTTATTGTCTAATGGAGAGAGAGAGCAGTACTGGTGCTGGAGCTCCTGCTGTTGGAGTAGCTGTTGCTGCTGCTGCTGGAGCAGCAATTTGTCAGGGGGAGGAAGAAGAACCAAGTCCTGAGGGCCGTGCCTCTTCCCCGAGCAGGACAAACAGAAGATCGACCCCCCTACAAAAAGGAAACCTGCTGAAACAAAGGCCACGTACACCGCACCCCCGGGCTCAAACTTATTGCTCTCAGGAACGCTGGAATCCAGAAAGTTGGTGATGACCTCGTTTGTAAACCAAGAAGCAGGCACCAGACACAGAAAACCTGCAGCGACGAAGCAGCCACCGCTGGCAATTGCAGCATGCCGCTTGGAGCGCCGTCCACCTCCCCAGCGGGTGCATTTTAGTCCCAGGGATGCAAGGCAGAGGCCCATGGCAGCCAGTACACAGCACAACACCATGGTGGTGCGAGCAGTCTGCAAGTACGCAGGGAGTGAAAGCACTGAATACTTAAGTGTGCAGCTGAACATGCCGGTGCTGTACCAAGTGCAGTCCATCCACAGTCCCTGCATCTGGGAGATTGCTGTGATAATGTTGGAGCCCACATCCGCACTGACTTTCCAGTTGGGCAACAGAGTGGCCACCGTTGCCCCCATGATGCCCAGCAGCGCCAGGACAAATCCAAATATCTGCATGCCGGTGGATGCCATCCTGGTTGTCAAGCCAGCGCTGCTGCTGCCTCAGCCGTTGTCCTCTCCAGGCAGCATTCACCCAGCACCAGCCGGGCTCAAAACCCCCCGTCCACCTGCCCTTTATCCGCCTTCTTTGGTGGTGCACCAGCTGCCAGTCAAATTCCCCAGTTCCTCAGCTGCAGATCCACTGGACTGGAAGAGAGAAATCGTAAAGAGAAATTGAAATGAGCGTGCCACCGTGCTCTCCTCTTTTCTTTTTTTTCTTCTCATCTTATTCACCTCACACTTTTTCTGTCTGGAAACAAAGTGCAGCATGAGGCAGTAAGAGCTGTCTCTGGCTAACCAAACATAAGGGACTGCTGTGCATCTTCTATTTACCTCTTTCTCAAATGCTTCAGAGTTGTTATTGGAGAAATGAGTTTGTGATAATTGCAGTGTTTGAAGCTGCAGTGTCCTCACCTCGCATATCTACTATAACTCCCCCCCTTGTGTACCTGTGCTGTTTCAAATCTTAAAAACTGAAGCCAAGCTGCACGATTGATTAAAGGTAAAATGCGGCAACAATCAAAGTTTTGTAATGCACAGGTTGTTTCAACTGATCGTTTTGTTCCTATAAGTTGGTGCATTCTGGTGTTTATATTTTAATCTTTTGGTCTGATTCTTTGTTGCTGCTGTTGATCTGAGGACTGAGAGAGAAAAAAAACAGAGAATTTAAAATAATCTCTTACCCCGGCTGGTGCAGAGCTGGAGCCGACGCGTCACGTTGTTCTCAGTAAATCCTGTACACGCTCTGTGAAAGACGACAGGGGGCTGCTGGTGGTGGTGAGGGGGCGAGGAGGACAATTCACCCCAGACCACGGATCCATTCAATCCATCCATTTCCTTAGCAACAACGGCGGGAGAGACCACACAGGCTCGGCCGGAGCCTGGAAGAAGTAACCGTAGCGCAGTCGCTGTCTCCCTTCGTTCTCCTCCTCCTCCTCCTCCTCTCCTTGCTCGGCTCTTTCTCCCTCTCCTTGCACAGTGTGTGTGTGTTTGTTTGTTCTGCCTCACAACTTCAGCAACGGTTATACAGCAATCTACACTAATCTTTACAACCAGGGCATGTAATCTAAATTACACCACAATAAATACACAAAATATCGACCATTAAAGTTTTTATATTATATTGGCTTATATTGACTAGTTTAATGAGCCTTTAAAAAGTTACCAATGGTGCGTCTACAACAAAGATAGCCGCCCCAGCTAATCAACTTAAGCCAATTCAAAAATGTCTTTAACTCAGTTTTATGGCCATTAAGCTAAAATATGATGTATTTTTGTGTAAACCTTTACATTACCTGTTGATGTCAACTTTTCTGTCTGTTGGCAACATTTCTCGGGAACCATTGGACAGATTTTAGTTATAATTTTAGTTTTTACTTATAAATCTCAGACATGAAAGGCTGTGGACGATATGTATTCCTTCAAGGAAATTAGTTTATATGCTAATTTAAGGAATTCTACATTCTTATATTTTATAATACAGAATTCCAGAGGAACACATTGTATTTACTGCTTCACAATATTTATCTTACATTTTTATTTTGTATTATTCAGTTAAAGAGATATTTAGTTTAGGAATTTTTTTTTCTTCACAAATTATGCCACCAGTTTTCAACCTTATAGGCTTTTTATGCTAATAAAAAGTTGGATGAATTTCTGAAATTACAGGAAAATCTGTTAACTAGTATCCAAACTTTATTGTTTTTTGATCATCTCAAAAATGTCAAGATTTTGTTGAAAAACTGTAACTGAATATTTTTAATGAACTCCTCCAGCAGCACACCAGCTATATGTTTACACACGAACGCCTCAGTGTTAAATATTTAATTATTTCATACTTAATGATGTACTAGTGTGAGGAAATCAACTAAAAAATAAAATATAATTAAAAAAATCACAATGTGTTTTAACTAAGTAGTTTCTTATACTTGTACTTGTAATCAAATTGATGGTGGTATTAGTGCATTTAGTTAAGTTTATTGTCACATCTCATTAAGCAGAGCCTAAAAATTTGACATTTTTGTCTCATTTATTAATGCTCTCATTACTTGCATAGTAATCTTTTGATGTTTTAAAACCACAGATAAATAGCAAGTACCCATTTTTTCCATCAAATATGCATTTTTAATTTTTTCAAGTATATACGATGACAATTTTTGTAAATAAAACAGTTTTGCAGCTTAACCAGTACCATTATGTTGCATTATGTCTGGCCTGCATTTGTATGAATGCTTTAATGTGTTATTAATGTGCATTTATTTTTAGACATGCATGTTGGTAATATACAAGATTGCTTTGTATCCCAAATTGAAACGTAAAGATTTTCAGCATGCTGTTGATAAAAGAAGTACAGTAGTACTAGGCTTTAGCCGATGAAACGTTCGTGTGCTGTTCTGGATGGAGAAAACATTTTCTGCACAGTAATGTAAATGAACAAAATTAAAGCCATCGGATTTCTGCATCAAGCTGCAGTAATCATAATGCAGTGCTGCTGTTGCTGCAAGATAAGAGCTGACAGAGATGTGACATCATGATAATATTTCCAATCACAGCCTCGCTAGTCGCTGCACAGCTGGGGAGAGTAAACCCATTTAGACAGAAGAAATAGTTGCTGTCATTAATGTAAGGAGAATGGGGCAAATTATGTCTTCTGTGGTTTTGTGTGTTTATGTGCTGAACCAAAGGTCAGAGGAGCATGTGTACCCCAACATGCCAAAACTGACCCTCCCCAGAGCGCTATCTTCATCAAGCAGCAGGAGGCTAAAGCTCACATCTGCCACCCCGTCTCTTCTTCCTGTCTGTAGAGGACATGTAACAAGGAAGGGAGTGGCTATAGGGCGGCCTTGATTCATGAATGACAAAGAGGACAAAATAATGGAGGGGTGATATACCAGGATTAATGGATCTGGTATCATTGTAAATGTTTTTTGTTTCATGAACTAATGAACAGTAAAGGCCTGTAGTAGGAAATTATCAGGTATTAGTTGCATCAGCGGGTTGTCATTACTTGTAGAAGCGCTGGTAGCAACTGATTTGTTTAGTTATTGATTTGTTTGTTTAATTCGACTTCATTTTCCCACAAACAACCCCCAAGAGATCCTGTCCTCAAAATGAGATATGTCCAAACTGCGGGATGGTGCACACCACATTACCTCCAATTTGACGTGGGTTTCAACCTTCAGTAGCTGTACATTCTCAGAACCCCTTGTGGGATAACGCTGCAGCATGATGAGAAATTTTCCATCTTCCCGCAGACACACTACGGCATGGCACATACAGTCACTCTCCTTGTAACAGACAAGATCTTAAGTGCTGATGCTGTGTTCTTCTGGGAGAAAGATAAATAAATAACTAGATTATCCAGGGAACAGATGAAAGGAAGGAAAAAGTGAAAGGAGAGAGGAGCAAAATGCAGTTGACATATCACCCAGTGAGTGCGGATGTGTGACGCTGCAATGCGTGAAGATGTTGGGAGGCTTTTGTAAGTGTGGCCCCCTTTGTTTTATCACCCCACAGCAGAGCTCTAGCCTTTCTGCAGCATAGCTGTGAGGTGCAGCCAAACCGGTCACACACTCCTTTGCCCTCATGAGGAGCTTTTATCGATTAATTTGCATTTTCCTCTTTTATGTCCTCCCCTGCATAATTGGTTTTCTGTTCTCGTCGTCTTGCAAGGGCCGTTAGTTCACAGTTTTGGATGCAAGGTGTTGTCTGATAGCTGCAACGTTGCTATCAACAGATTTTGTGTGCAGAGGGGCCTGGGTCTAGTTTCATCATAAGTAATACGCCGCAACCTGTTTCTGGCAAATCTTACAGCAATGACTTCAACTTTTCCCAAGTGTACATGACATTTATATCTTTTAAATGTCTGTCCACGGTGTCCTTATTTTTTGGCACAGCATTTTAAGGCAAAGTTCATGCTTCTCTATGACAAAACCATCTTTCAAGGGAGCTGATGTTGTATGGCTGCATTCTTAAGTCTTCTCTGTGCATGTCGGGAGCAATTTTATGGTAAATATGGTGGAGGAAGCCAGTCAAACCCGTTATCCCTTTAGCTTTATCATCCTGGTATTTTCTGTGGCACTGACTGCTGCCTTTTTCTCTCCAAGAGGGCGACTTCTTCCACTGATGTAATAGAGGTTGTCTTCTCAAGGTATTGTCATGATTAATGCAGCTCTTACTGCTTTGGTTGCACGTTCTCTGTGAGCTTCTCTCGCTTCCCTGGCTGTTTATAGCTTTCTTCCACCCCCATCTTTTTTTTCCCCCAAACCTTTCTTTACGTAAGCACAAGCGCTGGTGGTTCAGGTGGTGCCCCAGGGTCCCTGCCATCTCATCTTGGTTACGCTTATAGGGACATGACAAATTACTGCTCACGCCCCATCGGGCAGGAGCTCACCAAGAAAGACACATTGGAGATGGTATAGGGGAAAATGGACCTGAGGAACCACAGGGCAAAGCTGGAGTAATAGAGTTCCCTGCTGAGCTGTGGGAAGGTCAAGCATGAAGTATGTTAATGTGCAGGTGTGTGAATATGGATGTCGAGGTTTCGTTCTCATGTGGGACCAGAAAAGGTTGTGAGTTGTAGACACAAGTATTTGTATGACTTTTAGATGGAACTGGCACATTTTGTTCTTCTCGCAAGCTTTGACAGAGGAATTACTTCTCTCGATAGAAATGCAAGGTGTTTTTATGGGTTTACGAAATTCAGTTTAAAAAAAGGATGAAAAACCAAAATTTATGCAAGTGCTTACAGTCTCAAGCTTTCAAAACTGATGAATTAATTTAGTCTTAGAAAGTGAAATGAGTACAAATGCTTACATAACTGTTGAATCAGAAGGCCAAATCTGTGTCAACTTGTTTATAGATCTTTAAAAGAAGTGATATATTTTAATTAGAAGTTGTTGAATCCTTGTCTACTTTCATTTGTAATGTTCACTGTTGCTTTTGTAAAGCAGAAGACGAGACAGCTGAACTACATGGACAGACAATGAAACCG